TCAGATTTTGTCTCTGAATTTGTTTTCATTTCTGAAATATGCTCTTGTTCTTCTTGTCTTTTTTTCTCTCGAAGAGTTTGTACGTGGATTCTTCGTGCTCGTGCTTTGATCTCCGGGTCAAGATCTACTTTCTCCTAGGTTTCTTCTGGTCATAAATCAAAAACAAAGAAAAATAAATCAGTACTTGCCATAAGTCCCCATCAACGACACCAATTTGACACGAGTCGTTTTCGCGTCAAAATAATTCCTTAGTCCCAAAAGAAATATAAAGAAAATATAGCAAGTGAAAAGTAAGGTAAAATAAATAAAAATATAAAAATAAAGGTAAAATAAGAATAAGATAAAATAGGGGGATTTTGAAAGACTGTTTGAAAATAAGATAAATACGAATAATATAAAAAATAATAAATAGAATAAAATAGTAATTTGAGTTTGAAAAGAAGACTTATTGTGAAAATTAGCCTCAGGCTTTCAACTTTGACTCAGTTTCCTCAGATCATCGAAACGGATATTTACTTCAGGATTCACGCCTGTTACTTGTCTAAAAGGACAAATCCTTGTGATTGTGCTTTGTATATCGAATACCCAAGTGCAATCTTTAATATCGGTTTGTGAATTGATCTAAGCAACAATAATGTTGTAGATCTAAAAACGTCGAGGCTCGAAAAGCTACCGACTCGGATTATATTGTTTCAACAATAACTGATTCCGATCTCAGTTTTCTCTTAGCAAACAATTTTGCTAAGTGTGTTCCCAGGAAGTCGAATGTACTTTAATAAGTTGATCCTTCCTCCCACGTTAACCATAACAACATCCAGACCAACGTCGACTTTTAGTTTTGAAATTTGTTTTGATTTGAAAATAAGTCCAGAAAATAGAGAGAGATATCTGAAGCGATTTAAGTGCCTTACAATTCTCACGTTTGGAATTGAGCCATCGTTTTAATCTTCAGCATAAAAGAAAATTAGCTAAGCATGACAAAAGTTATACTTAGCATATTTAAAAACAAAACTTAAAATAAAACAAAAACAAAAAATTGAAAGAAAATAAAAGAGAGAATTTTATAAATCTAGAAAGAAGAAAAAGAGTAAATTCTGAGTTGTTGAGAGATATGTTTATAGGCTTACCTTGATAGGGTATTTATAGCCTTCAAAATCTTAAAACAAGATAAAGATAATTCCTAAAATAAAGAAATAAATCCTAATTAAAATACTTAAAATTATTTAAACTAAAATACCTAAAACAAAGATAAGAAGAAATATAATATTTAAAATAATATCCTAAAATATGAGTTTAATTCAAATCCTAATTGAAGAAACGTGCGGTTGATCTATTTATTCTTCTAAAAGGTGTTGACGTCATCGCCACTTCAGATGCTTCATGCCCACTAATCCAACTTTGATTTTGAAAATAAAAAAAACTGCAGAATTCTATCATTTTAGTGCAATTTTCAGAATCCAATGTCCTGTACTGAAAATGAATTAAAACAAACAAATAAACCATAAAAATCAATAATTAAGGAACAATTTAAAAGTAAAATATTAACAAAATAAAACACTTATCATGGATTATTTGCCCAATTCAACCTATAATTACTACCAACAATTCCTTTTACAGTTTCTATTTTCAAACAGTTGTGACCACCTTCAGTCAACATTTCAGCTAATCTTAGTTGGTTTCAACGTTGGACAATCTCAGTCGGTTTCAACATTGGACAATCTCAGATAAAATCTCAGATAAACTCAACTGATCTTTTTTACTTTATGGTTTAAAGCAGACAGACTCGTAAGGCCCAAACTCTAAATTTTTGTACATTGTACCATTTGTGAGCATTGACCGATGGTCTGATTTATTACCAAGTTAAATTCAACGGAATAAAAGGATAATCTCATCTTCTTACCTTCCGTGAGGATTCACCGGTAACTATTGTCAGTGATGCTATTCTTTGCTGACATCCTTAAATTTATTAGTACTTTCTGTCGTGTAGACACATTTCTATTGGTCGGTAAACGACAATCATATTCCCAAGTCAAACTAAGAGATCTTACCTTTTATCATGTATACCACCATAACGACTAAATTTAGTGTTTTTTTATATAAATTATACGAATGATCACTTATATTTTTGGTCTATTTGATCTTGGTCACTAATTCAAAAAGAGTAATTAAAAAAATTGAGTTCTCAATCATTAATTCTTGTTAATCTATTAATAAAAATTGAGTTATCAATTAAAAAAATGTGTCTTCTTCTTCCAAATAAAGCAAAAGATTTAAAAAACCTTGAAGTTATCTTAATTATATTAGGAGTATCTCAACGATGTTCGAGGTGGAGATAACTCAGTTTTCCTTGAATTACATAGGCATCTTAATTTATCTGGCCAGTTAATGTGAAGATAGCTCAATACATTCACCCATAAAGAATGTATCTCCACTATTGCAACACGGAGAAAGTGTCTCAACGACGTGTCGTGAAGGATGTACCTTTTGATCTAGAAAATTATCCTAATGAATTTATTTCTCTTATCAGAATTTACTACAAGAAGTTCTAGAGGTATTAACAAACTTTTAAATATGTTGACAAGTTGTGAAATTACAATAATTTAATTGGAGATGCAAGATTTTATTTCGATTGATTCTTTTCGATTGAGATGATCTTTATATCCATCGTATCAATTGTTGATGGTAACATTTGAGTTGTGGCGATAGTAGGTAGTTTACCTTTTTTGATTCGAATAAAGAGCCACCGCCGATGTTTAATAATGATGTTGTAAACAACCTACATCGTTTGGTTTTAGAGATTTTACAAAATATGAGAGAGAAAAAGAGAGGTGGGGAAGAGCATTATTCTTTTAATTGTATGGTGGTTTATATACAATAATACGTGTTGAAAAATTGTGATAAATTGAAAACATTGAGTCATATTTTATATGGGTACTCTTCATTTATTAATAAAATATTTATTTATTTATTTATTTTTATCATAAATTGTTATATTTGTAACAACACAAACCTTTATATTGATATCATACCAAAAATTATAATAATTATTTACAAATTAATAGAATGAAAAGATGCTACTGATTATAGATCATATAAACTTACCAATAATAATATGATGGGGTCATAACTGGCAGAGTCGCAATGTACCACGAGAATCAAATGCTCATCAAGAAGTTCACTATCGGGTGATATGCAAATCGATATGGTTATCCATCGATTATGCGACTCACACCGTACAAGCAGTTTGGATCGTTTGCTGAATGCATAGCCACAAATAAGTTCAGATGCCTGAATTAATTATTGCGGTGATCAGGAACTCAAGTAATAACACGTGGTATTGACACAAATCCCTATAATTATCTATTTGAGATTTACGTTTAATTTGGAAGACAAGTGGAGCACTAACAGCAGGATAATCTGAGATTTCTCGATAATAATAATCTCAAACATACCAGAAGTTCTGCTATAAAAAATGCGATTTATGTTGGCCATTAGGGGCGGACGGTGCTGCTTTTTCAATAGCTTTTCATCCATGGGTTTTTAAATTAAAAAATACCTTTAACATTTCATTTATTTAAAACTAATTAATTCTGGATAAAATGTTGAAATATATGAAGTGCAGGGTCATGGTCCCACCCATAATATCAAATTGTAGCTGCGAATTTTGTTACCGGTGAGATTGTGGTATTGTAGTTATAGATGATGAGAACATTACGTAATGCATTGTGGTGGCTGAGGATGTGATATCTTCTTTAAAAATTAAAATATATCTAAAATATTATATTTATACATTTTACAGTTATATTTTAATATACTAATATTAATATACTCTTTTAATATTTTATTTTGAAAATAAAAAGTTAATTTCATGGATAAAATTTATTAAAAACAAATATAAATCATATAATTGTTATCATACATAATAATGAGTAATAATAATTATAAAATAAATGAATAACATATAAACAATATTATTAAAATCATATCAAATTTTTATATTGTAACATAAAAATGTCCATTTTACATAACTTAGAAAGAAAAGAATACATAACTACAAGTATAAAAATTTATATCTTACAGTTCACCACCAAAATAAATGGTATGACGAATATAAAGCATTTTCATCTTCGTAATTGTCTTGGTTTTGATTCATTCCTATTCTATGTGAAGAAGACATCACATTATGTGCATCATAAGATGTATCATTTGTAGAAAACATGTTATATGATAAAATTTTATAATAAATAGATTTGATAAAATTTTATAGTTTCATAGTAAATAGATAAAATATATATACTATTATAGTATTATAAAGTGAATTCCTCTCTTATACAAAATCTATATAAAATAAATAAATATATAATTATGATACTTAATGTTAATATAAAAATTATCAAGTCAATTTTAGATATGAGAAAAATTTAATTTAATTTTTAAAATAACGTTAATAAATAATTTAATTAATTCAAATTTAAGTAACTAATTTTAAACATAACTATTACGATATTATTAATGATATATATTTATAATATAGTTTTAAGAATTAAATTAGAATAATTCATCTATATAATTTTATATTTAAGATAATTTAAAATTTATTACAACGTTACGACATAATTTATAACATATTACGATATTATTTAACATTATTTTTATCATAATAATCGTGATGCAGTTAACTTATTACATTGTACCGCGGTAACCTTAAAAAAACGTTACGCGGTACGTTGCGGTATGTTACTGTCGTAATTTAGTACGATGGTCCCACCTGCTATTGTTGTTATATCAGACAAATCGATATTCAATATTCACCCAGAAATTTAAGATTATGACCTAATTTTCCTAACTAACCGACACCTTGCTCCGTAAGTAAGAGAGACGTTTAACTTGCAACTACCCCACCATTTTAAAAAATCGAAGAGAGTTTATTTCAAGGGAAAAAAAGAAGACAAATATTCATATTGATATGATCAAAACTTAAAACCATCAGAAAGTATCTATTAAACATCTCTTAGTTTTGCAGTATCATTTACAAGACAAAACCATATCATATATGGTCTCATCAAACACCTAAAAACAAAACAAAAAGAAAATTCACTACTAGTTTCTTTCTTTGGATCTATTCATAGCAGCCAGCTCTCTCGGAAAACAGACTGATAGTACACCAAAATCAGCAGCAGCACAATGAAAGCAGCCACCGCCCACGGCGAGCTACCCTCTGTCGGGAGATGGTGGGTTCGGCGGCGGCGTTCCCATGGTGATGAACCGAATAAAAACATATCAGGAGTATCGATAGAGGAGAACCAACGAGCCAAGAGTATGAGCAGAACCGGCGTGGCGAAAAGCACCCAACTCAGTTGCTCTTTAGCGGTTTCCAGAACTGATTCATAGTTGACATACCATGATATTCCCAGAAATATTGATGTAACAGCCAGGATCAGCAGAACTGGGTATAGCAACGGGCTCAAAGTGAATGAATCGAAGATGGAGTCTTCTCTTCTATAATTGGCCATCAGCCAGGACGTGTGTGTTTACTGGTGTGGTGCGTGAGGATTCATGAGTGGAAGGCCTAATAGGGTATTTATATTAACCAAATAAGCCCAAAATTTGTGTGGTTCACAGCTTAACACCATGTATTTCTGAACCTACTTTCTTATTTTTATGGATAAACTACATGTCTACTACTCTAACTATTACTTTTATTCTATTTTGCTCACTCGACTATTTTATTTTTCAAATTCATATATAGTTTATTTTGATCACTCGTCGTTAAAAAAATAATAAAACTGCTGCCATGATATTTTTAAAAAGTTTCAAATAATGTGTTATTATCTTATGATGATACATCAATATCATCATTAATTATCTAATTATGGATAATAAAAAAAATTAAAATGTAATATTATATATGATTTAAAAAATAATATTTAGTTGAACAAAGCAGAAAAAAAGTAATAGTTAGAGTGCTAAGCGTGTAGTTTGCTCTATTTTACTTGGTTTTTGGATTTTTCTCCCGGGTTAGGTTTGAAATTGACAAATGTGGGACCAAGCACTGAAATCAATTAGTACATTGTTAATTTTGTCGTCTTTATTATTTAGAAAATAATGTGGGAGGTCAGTTTCCTCAAAATAATAATAAAAATAATAATAATAACGTGGGAGGTCAGTGATAATTAATAGTATCATTGAATCTGGCTTTAACCAAGAATACGTGAATTTAATAGGACGAAATATTAAATTTTTAAATAAAATTAAATGTATAAATTATGATATTTATTAATAAAATAAATTAGATTGAAAGAATCATTTTTATATTTATAATATTTTATTTATATTAATCGATTGATAAATTAGATAATGATGATTATAATAAAAAAATTGATCTTGCTTTAAAAATAAAAAGTATATTCAGATCCGTATACCATGACGGTACAATAGCAGGGTGCAGCTGCATATATTTTACAAAATAGAATGATTTTGATTAACCTTAAAAATAAATATCAATTATAATAATTAATTTCAGAATAAAAAAATATGAATTGCGAACTTTTTTCTATAATGTAAATAATCTAAGAAATAAATGGGAAAAATAATTTATAGTAGATGGACCAAATCTAACTTGAAATATTCCTTTGATCATTGTGATGCACATCCTCACTACTTATCTAACTTGAAACATTCATTGTCGGCTTTTAACGCTGGCTATTGTTTACCATGTAAACGATTTCTTCTTAATTTAAGAGGGAGAGTTTTAAGTACATATCAAATGACATTACATAACTGATAAAAGAATTATTATTATTTTAAAGATTTATATTTGAATACAAGAATCGTGAATATTTAATATTAAAATATTTTAAAAAAACATCCACCAAATTATTTTTCATCTTACTACAAGTGATCCATATCTTTTACGAACTAAATAAAATTATTCTTACAAAAGACAATCTAACACCTAGGGGATCCCAAACATAAGGACGCAATACACACAAAAGACTACCATAACAAAAACCTATAACTACCAAATATTGAATAAAAATCACAATATTACAAATTAAGAGATGTCAACGTCTACATAGATATAATCATAAGAACTGAATTATTGTCATCGCTTGAACAAATGATAAGACAGTTCAAGAACATTACGTCCACTGAAAAATCAGTAATGTAAACATATTTTTATAAGAGAAAATTTAAAGGAGATGTCTACCTATCCTATGTAAATATTAAACTTAAAATCTATCATTGCATCGAGTCAGTGTTTAAAATAGTTAATTTCATTCATGTAGAGGATTGTTGAAAAAATAATAATAAATTATAAAATAAAATTAATGTCATTTATAATAAGTCATGTAACTTGATGAATAGACTTATTATGATAAGTCACGTCAATTGATTAATAGACTTATTATAATAAATCACGTCATTTGGTGAATAAACAACTATATTGATTGGATGACTACCGGACGATAAACTAACGAAGTTGAAGTCGTGAAAGATCAGTCCCATTAACTTCTGTGTAACGAAGTTGGATTCCACCATCCTTTTGCATGTTGATTTGCATTTGCACATAATCTTTGGTGTACGATTTACATGCAATCCTTGGCAAAGAGATTTGGAGCATATTAAGAAATTGTTGGACAAAAATTAGGAAGAATTCAAGGCGTTGCAGAGAACTGTTTAATTTTATTATTAAAATAGTACATATTTATTTGGCCAAGTGACTCGAGTTACTGTTATTCTGACAACAAGAATACGAACCATTAGAGTTTAAATAGGCACCCCCACACCACAAGTAAGATTTTTAATTATTATTATTATTGTTATTTATTTTTCAAATTAAGCCTGTGCAGTTTTAGATAAATGTGTCATGGGAAGCAAAAAAAAAAAAAAGCATTTTGTACGTACTTCTGCTTAGTTTACTAAAATCCTATCGTTCAACATAAGTTTCATTTTGTTTGGGGTTTTAATTTTAATGAAATATGAAGTTTAATATATTCAACAAAATGATGTAGACTGTGGATTTCTATTTCGGATATTTATTTTATTAAATTCTTGTCCATGGTCGGCCCTGGGCCAGGGCAGGAGTGGTGTCCATCCAAGGCCCACAAATTAAATTTAGTATAATTTTCTTTTATTTTTCATATAATAAATTTAAAAAATTGTAAAGCAAAATAGAATAATCTAAGTATTTAGTACCTAAACTATCAGTTTTGATCTGTTTTAGTACCTAAATTTTTAGTTTTTTTAAAAATCATATCTAACGTTTAGTTTTTATTTCATTTTAGTATTCTGCCGTTAAAAACTTAACGAGTTTAGTCTTTAACTATCAATTTTGGTTTGTTTTAGTATCTTAGATTTCAAAAAAAAAAAAATTAAAACTTAACATTAAAGTTTGAATGAGTACTAAAATGAAATAAAAAACTAAAGTTTGTAACGGCATGTACTAAAATGAAACAAAAACTAAACTTTACATATGATTTTCAAAAAATTAAAAGTTTAGGTACAAAAATAAACCAAAACTGATTATTTACGTACTAAACATATAATTTACTCAATAAAATAATGGGCCCATGAATTTTGTTAAGGTGTCAATTGTCTTTATGGAATTTTATATTAACGTTAATACATTATTCTTTCATAAAATTCTAATTCAATATTTCTTTCCAAAAAAAAAAAAAAAATCAATTGCCACTATTAATTCACTAAATCTCTTTCCCGATTTTTCATATCAATGAAAAAGTTTACTAACGTAATTTTTTTTCTTCAAAACTTTAATGAGAGGAAAAAATTTAAGTATAATTAGCATACTTCTTTTCTCTTTCATGTTTCACGATTCCTCTGAAAATTATTATTCTCATTTTTTAATTTATCATATTTCTGTCACATGTAAAGTCACAATTGTTTATTATCAATTTTGGTGCTTGAATAATATTGAAGATTGTTCTTAGAATTCTAGGTAGATCATGTTTTCAAATTCTCTCTTTTAATTTTTATATTTTCAAATTTTAGATAAGATCGTTCTTTCATTTTCAAATGTTATATTATTATAGAGAAAAATATGTTGGAAAACATTGATGTTGACACTATCATTAATGGTTTTGCATGAAAATGATTGAATGTAATATTTTTTTTATAAGTATTTGTATTCTTAAATATAATTTTTGACATCTTTTATATTGTGATGAATTACTATTTTTTTAATTTAATAAAAAAATAAAATAAAATTTTTATATTACATATTTCTTAATTTTTTTTATATTAAGGGCCCATTTTTTTATTTTCGCACTGAGCCTAGAAATAGTTAGGACTGACCATGTTCCTGCCTACACAGAAATTGCTCTATTGTTGAGTTTTAATTATACTAAAATGAAATCGTGGTCTATTGTGAACAGAAGATTTATTTCATAATTTTAATCATGTCATCTAAAAGAATTTATTCGATTTACTGTTTATAACATAAATCATTTGAAAACAACAATATGGATTAGATTTTGTTGTTGGATGATAAAATAAATTGAATTAATTTTGGATTTATTGTTAGAGTTATTATGAATCCTAGTTTTGTGTTAAACGAAACAATGGATAACTCCACTGATGCATCTAAATTGTGATTCCTACTTAGACATTGAATAAAATTTAACGATATCGGTGGTCGTGAGCCACAACCAAATTTGTAAAATTCTATGGATAGAATTTTAAGATATAGCAACATAAGATATTGTTATTTGATCATGTTAAATATGATCACATTTATGCATGGTGATCCTCCTATTATTAGAGTGAATGAAGTAAACATTGTTACCACATTCACTATTGTTGAATTTTAGAATATTTTGATTTTCGATATCAAAACTACATCATGAATAGATTGCCAGATACATTATATGAAGTGTATAATATCTATAAGATAACTAAAGAATTATGGATGATATTGGGCCATGAATACAAAGCAAGAGAATTACCTTAAAGGAAATAATGAACGTCATGCTAAAATGTTATGGGTTGTCAGAGGATGTTGGGGAGTTGCTACCTTTCAAATAAGGTGTCCCACAAGAAAATGGAAAAGACTCCGTATGAATTATGAAAAGGTGTTTCGAATTAACCATTTTGACTAACAAAATATAACATATGATTAATGATTTTACATGTTGATTACATATACCCACAACATACTATTGAAAATAAACAACTAAGATTTTACTCAGAGACGGTGCTCTTTCAATGCTCACCTAAGAACTTATGAACAAAAATATTCTAACAGTTGAGCTAACACTCAATGCCACATAAAAATAACTCTACTCTATTACATATATTTAAAATATAATATATCGTCAAGTATAATTAGAGAAACAATATCACCAACATAATACAATACAAATGCCCATACACTAATGTAAGCATCATGATGTAATATGGTGCCACTTAACCTTAAATTAACATATACATTTAACCTACTAAAACTAATACTTTGAATGAGACCTAAGTGCTCTAGCATTAGAAACGTACATCCATTGATCCTATAAATGTCAAGTACTTCGAGTGAGACATGAGTCAC